ATTTCCATTTATCCACTCCCATCTTCCATGCACATTATACATATCAGTTCGCTCTGAATATTTCTCCCAATCAACATTACTTTTCAATAAATAGGGTAACCTTATCCAAGAAGCGACAACAGATGTTAATCACATGCAAACGACGAAGGCAGTGAGGCAAGAAATTACTTACGAAGCTTCATCCCAGTTTGCACTCGGATGTATATTCCCATCGGTCCACCACAAATTTCGAAATTTTTCCAATATGTCATTAGAATTAGGAGGCATCGCTATTATGATAAATTAAGAACAATTCTAAAGAGTTAGCCAAAAGGATTTATAATCATAATTTACATGAACAATTTTATTCACCTAGTCTTGGCAACAGAGCTTAATGTTTCTCTTGAAGTTGCACTCTCTCTCAAAGTTGAGCTGTTGTGTATAATTAATTAGAACGACTCTTAAGAGTTATCCAGAGGATATTATAATTACACATACCTTGATATCTCATTAACAGAGCTTGTTTCTTTCAAGTTCATTGGCAATTTTATTATTGATTTATTGATTTCTGTAATCACGTGCAGAGTTCATTTTTTGTTTAATATCATTGAACTAACGAGTAAAAACAAACCTTTAATTAAAGTAAACTAGACATAAATAGATAAGGTAAATTTATTGAGAAACTTGTTTATTATTTGAAAAATAATAATATTAATCCAATTTACTTACTTAGGTGAAATAAAAATTACATTGCTTTATTATGAAATTTACTATTTATATTCAAAACAATTATAATACACCCAGCCCCGTTTAATAATTACTTCACTGAAATCGGAGTGTTTAACAATTAACACTAAAAGAAAACCTATTAAAATATTATGACTTTTAAATAATGCTAGTTAAAAAATTCATCCAAAATATTCATACCATCAGATATAACCTCTTTTTGCTTTGATTACATCATTAATTCTCTCCAGCATTGATTTATTAATTTGGTGAATCATATGCTATTCGTCTTCTTAATATAAGGTGAGTAGCTCAATATAACCTTGTTAAACCATCATGATGATCTATTTAGAAAACAACAATTAAACCATTAGATTACTGGATTTAATCAATTCCAATTTCATTAAAATTTAAATTATTAGATTATAACAATTATAAATTTATATAACTAAAAAATTATAAAATTTATAATATGTAAATCATTTTAATTAAATAAATACAATAATTAAGTTAACCAGTATTAGTAAAATAAATAATTTTTTTTTATATTGATGACATACAAATTCATTATATATTATAAAAATTTATTATAATAATTATAATATAAAATTTTTATGTAATAATAGTACAGTCAACTCTTTCTACAACGAATTTTGATATAACGAATTTTACAATACAACGGATTTTCATTGTCAGA